TGCTAAAAATGATACTAAGCAAAATCAACAATTGGAACTTGAATTCCCTCCAGATGAAACTTATTTTATGGAACAAAGATTTTAAAATAAGCATATTGAGGATGTTCAAAGAAACAAATGAAGACATTAAAACCAGAACAAGGAATTATGAAACAGAATAGGCAGAAATAAAACAAGAACAGGTGGATATGAACAGAATTAGAAGTCTTGGGAATGAAAAATGTATAGTTATTGAAATATCTTAAAAGACAGGAAAAAATCTAGACTAAACATGGTCAAAAGTGAATTTATGCCTGCAAGTTACTTATAGAAACTCAGTGCAATAAGACAAAAATTATAAAAATTATAAAAAATCAATTAAGAACCATGGAGGCCACTTGATAGGATCCAACATTTGTCTAATAGGAATTCTTAAAGCAGAGAATCAAAGGAGTAGGTGAAAAGCTATTTTCAAATAATATTTGAAGAGATAATTTGCCAACAGTTTTCTAGAACTACAGAAACACATAGATTCTTAGGCAGAAAGAATACTCAGAGTATCAGAAAAGATACCTAACATAAATTCACACCTGAACACATGAAAATGAAAAGGCAGAACATTAAAATTAAAAATCAATCTTGAAACCTAGCCAAGGAAAAATAGGCTTCCTAAAACAATTATATAATGGCAAATTTCTCATCAGTAACTACTATGACTTGAGAAGACAATGAACAAAATCCTTAAGGTGCAAAGGGAAGTCCCAAAATGAGAATTTATACCTAAGTACATCATGACTTTAGACAGATAACAAAATAAGGACACATACAGATTAAAAGCATTATCCAAGCTCTCTCACTCAAATAGCTATTAAAGGATGTACTTTAGTAAGGTAACATATGAAAGGCTTGAGATACAATAAATAAGAGAACACAAAAATTCATAAGTTGTGTAGGAAAGGTCAATAGCTAAATAATAATAACAATTTGTTTTTCTTTTACACAAAGTCGAACTTAAAAGTCTAATCAAGGATAATCAGGTAGGTGACAGGAGAATGTTTTAGTATGTGGGAAAAGCACAGTCAGGCTGTCTTTGGGTTGGAAGGATGAAAAAAAATTCTGCATAAATATAGACTTTGTAAGAAAAGGTACAGGTAATTATATACCTAAGTGGTTATCAGTTAGGGTTAGAAATAAAATCTATAGCATCAAAATCTGCAGAGGGAGTAAAATAAAGCAGGCAATATATAAAACCTAACAAATCCACAAAAAAGGTGGGACAAAAAAGAATAAAGGAATGATAAACAGAAAACATAAAAGTGGTGATACAAATATATTTTAATATATTAGTTATTGTAAGTATGAATGTATTAAATTCAGTAGTCACAATATATTAGATTATATTTAATAAACACAATTAAAATATATAATTATATATATAGCCTTCAAAAGATGAGCTTAAAAGGGAAAAAGGGAACTATATATATTGCTATCAATTATAAAGATGATACTAAAATTGAGATTTATTATAACTAAGACAGTGTGAAGTCAACAAAGAGTAAGACAGGTCAATAGAGAAAGCTCAGTAACAGATTCCGTGTGTAGGAAAAGATGCATACAGAAATGTAATTGTTTACAGTTGGCAAAAAGGATGTACTAGTTGTATGGTGCTTAGACAATGGGTAATCCATATGTAAATTTAAAAAGTAATTAGACCTCCTCATACGCAAAGATCAGTCCTAAATGAGGCAAAGAACCAAATGTGACATAAAAATTGAAAAATTAAAAAAATTTAAAAAGTACAAGCCACACTCTGCAAAAAGATATTTGCAGTGAATATAAGGGCTATACTCAGAATAAGGTACTATGAAACAATAAAAAAGAAACAACTCAGTAGAATATTCACAAAGGATATGAAAAGTCAATTCATAGAAGGGTCAGTAAACATAAAAGAAGATACTCAACCCCACCTGTAAGTAGGGAAGCATATTATAATAAGCATGGGGTAACATTTCACGTAACTGACTGGCAAAACTCATAGGTCTGACATTCTAAGTGCTGAGGATGCAGGGAAAGGGAAACTTACACTTTGCTGTTAGAAGAGTAAATGTGCTCAACTGCTTTAGAGATAAACTTATGCAGTAAATTAGAAGATATATGTAATCAGCAATACAATCCCAGTTTTTATGCCATAGAGAAATTTTCAAACTTTTAGCATAAGGGGACATGAACAAAAATGCTCTAGTAGAATTCTTTGCAATTGAAAACAGTTATAAATAATATAAATTATGATCAATAAAATGGATAAGTTAGAATCCAAACATTTATGACATACCATACAGCAATTAAAATGAATGCACCAGAGCCATTTGTATCAAACAAATGAATTTCTATGATATAATAATGAGTATGGAAAAAAGTCACAGAATATGACTTTTTCTAATGTGATACCATTTATAGGAATTTATAAAATGATAAGTTACATTTTAAAATATATAGATATAGAGAAATACTGAATAGTGGTTACCTGTAAAGTGGAGAGAGATGTAATCAAGGAGGAGTACAGAAAAGTCTCAATAATTTTTTGGAACACAGGTCTCTGGCATAGAGAGCACGATGCTGATATGATAAAGCCAAGGTATGTGGAAGGGATGGTAAATGGCTGATAACTATATCTCTATTCTTTTCTGTGTATTTGAAACTATTCACAATAAAATACAATTTTGAAAGAAAATACCATGCAGATTTTTAAGGCTTCCAAATTCCCAATCAACATTTTAGAAGGCTTGAAATGGCAGCACCAGACCACAGTACTCTATTGAGGATAGCCTGGTGAGGAGTTTAGATAAGTCAGTGCCTCCCACTGGCTGTTCCAGAGAGGTAGCAAGTCTGCTGTTAGCTGCCGCAGCTTCTGTTGAGGTGAAGAATTGGAGTGAGTTTGATAGTGAGAGAGAGTTAATGAAAATGCTTTAGACATAGAAAAGAGTCATTGGGATAATGCAAGGTCTAATGGTGCGTCCTAACCTGCCAAGTCATGAACACACGGATAATATTGGTCTGCAGACTCGAGTAGAGGTGATCACCTTGGGTGAGGAGGGTCCTGCTGCCCCAGGTCTTATCTCACAATAGCCCAGAAGTGTAGTCCATTTGCAGTATACCAGTGTGCCGCACAGACCTTTTGGGAAGCGCTGACCCTGAAGGAGGGATAATTATAAACCACTCAAACACTAGCAGTGCTGAGAATTTTGCAATCCCATAGCTGTCTAAAAGGAGTACACTGGGATTCACAACTACTCTGCTTGAATTTGTGAACTGGCAATTAGGAGCAGAGAAAGCTAGCACAAAAGAAATGGTCTAAAAATGTCCTTCTAAAACAAATGACAACAGATCGAGAACCCTTTCCAATTCATATTTAGGCATCACACCAGGGTGTGAACAGATGAGACTGGGTTTTAGAAGCATATGTAACATAAAATGGCATGATTACATAGAACAACTAAACAACACAGGACAGATAATCCTCACGAGAATTTCAGTGAGAACAAACTAGTAGGTCACATGAATGAGCCACTCTAGTTATGTCAGTTCATAATATGGAATTTCTATAAATGTTAATTATATATACATATGTTGAACAAAGTTTATTCTATGGGATAGATTAAACATTTTTCAAATGAGTTCCATATTTACTCTTCTGAAGTCTCAAGTTCAAAGAGCTCTATCACATGGAAACATAGACAGGTCATCTGAACTGGGTGGCTCCCTTTTACGTTTTGCAGTCACTGTCCTGTACCCTACCTACATAGACCAGATAACCAGCCTTTGTGCTGGAAGACTGCCTAGTGAGCATAACTGCACTCTAGAAACGTCATGGCAGGCTTGGGGGAAGGCAGTGCTGACATGGTTCAGTATATTGGTTACTAAGTTATTGAAATATATCCACATTCATTGATAATTAGTCATAACCTGAGCCACCCTCCTGACATATGACACTTGGCCACATGAACTCCTCCCCCAGGACCACATCTCCCCACAGTTCAGTAACCAAAGTGTTAATGCCGAGCACAGCAGATGGTCGCCAGGGCTGTTAAATATTTTGAATATCATCCATGGGTGAAGATGAACCACCACACCCACTCACAAATGCTCACTAACCCTCCTAGCACCATCATCCCCTTGATCTTCAGAGAGAATTGTATCTCTTATCCAATTTTGCCTCAAGGTTCTAAACCTCTCTGAGAAAAATAAACTGCTCAGCCTTTCACGAGGCTCTATGTCAAGCCTAGGGGAAATAAAGGATCTTTTATTCCTATGGCCACAGCTTTGTTAGGGGATTTGACTTTCCCATAAATCATTTTTTCTTTCAAATAGGGTCTTGCATTTATGCCTAGGATGGCTTGGACAGAGATCGTATTTTTGCTTCCCGTGTAATTGGGAAGATAGGACACACTACTGCATCCAGCTTATTGGTTGAGATAGGGTCTCACAAACTTTGTCCAGGCTGTCCTCCAACCATGATCCTTCTGATCTCTACCTCCCAAGTAGCTAGGGAGCCCCTAGCCATGCCGGTAAGTCATCTTGACCATCAGCAAAGCCAACTAAACCTGAACATTTTCACAACCTAACCCTTCCTTGTGAGCCATCCTCCATTCCACTGCACCTTCCAGACAGCTTCTCCATTCCCCATTATTTTAAAACTTATTTCTCAAGAGACCAGGAATATTCCTTGATATCTGAGTCCAATGAGTGGTTTTGGGAGAACTTGGCCCTAGAGAATGCAACAACATCCAGAGTATCAGCCCTGCCACCTTCAGAGTAAAGAGGAAGTAGCAAGGAGCTGGAAGGGAGAAAAGAAAGCACCCTAGGGGCATAGGGTGGGAGAGAGAAGGTCATTCATGGCACAAAAATTCTTCTGTTCATTCAGGGAGTCAAAGGAGGAATGGATGAATTACACTTGGATAGGCAACAAGGCATCACTCTGGGAAATGAGGAAAAGCCAAAGCAGAACAGCCACATCTACTCACCGGGACTGGTTATTGTCAGGAGCTCAAGCTGCCGCTGCTGCTGTAAAAGAAAACACACTGTGAGACCACTGATTTGAGCCACAGCCAAACTTGCTCTTAGCAGGTTAAGGTGGACATGCAAAATGATGTACGGATACACAGAGTAGTATAAATTTTATGGAACATGGTGCTGATTTGCAATTCTGCAGGGGGGTCTTGCATTCTAGACACAAAGTGGAATGGACAGCCATTTTGCTTGTCCTTGGAAGCATAGATTGTAACAGTTGAGACAGCTTTAGAGGACTTCCAGTCAAACCCATACTATACTTATAGAAAATGAGGTCCAGGGAGAAATGTGGCTTATGAAGGGCCACAAAGAAAGTCCCTTTCCAGTCTTCTAGCTAGGGACTTATTCTGTACTAGAAAACCTTAGGTCTCATTGTTCACACTGGTTGCAATGGTTGAGTGTCTGATATACTGGCAACCTTCTTTGCCTTGGGTGCCTGTGTTACTCTGACCTTTAATACTTCTTTCACATTAAGACACTTCTGGGCTAGTTTATTTCTTAAGCCTGATCAACAATGCTATAACAATTTCAATTACTGATAATCCAACCATTTCTTCTCTAGCTGAATCCTTATCCCTTTCTACCATAGTACATTCATACAAAATAATACTTGTCAAGCACACTAGGTTATATGGATGAGGCAGCTCATGTTTGGAGACAATTGGCCTGGGTCAACCTAAGGGCTGAGGTTATCAGTATCTCAGAAGGTCTGTCCTTTGCCACAGAATACCTACTGAGAAGTTCTGTCCTGGCCTGGATATCATGAAAACTGAATGTAGAGTAGTGGGTATAGGAGGTCCTGTTGGGACCATAGGGAGCAGCTCCCTGGAAGACTCCAATTAGGATTCCTTAAGCAACAGTCTGCTTGCTGATCTCTTTCTGTTTTTTAAACTTGGCTTCCAATAAAAAGTTCTGAAACAAATATTTTTAAAATTTTCTTTAAAGGATCCAAAGAAACTCCATTTTGAGAACCATTGATCTAGACTTTAAATTGCAGGAGCTTCTGATCACCTGGCATTTCACCTGGTGCATGTCTTGCCATATTTCACCTCACCCTTTTTATCTTGCCTCTTTCCAAGAATGGTTTCCTGAAATCCAGCTTAAGCAAAAGCAGGAAGGACGAAACATTTTTTGAGTACCAACCAAATGCCAAGCACATTACTGTGTACCTTGATGTATTATTTCTTTTCATACTCTTAGAAATTCTACAGGGTGAATATTGTACAAAGGGAGAACATGAGATTCAGAGAGGAGAAATAATTTACCCAAGACAAAATCTTCATTAAATGGTAGGATCACAATTAAAATTCAGTCAGCTCTAATCCTGGTTTTAAAGTGCAAAATATGACAATGCATATAAATCATTTGGCATAATGCTTGGTACTTAGTAGGTTCTCAATAAAAAAGACCTATTTAGTATTATTGTTGCTACAGAATATCTGATCTTTAGTTTATATATATGCTACCTCTTCCCTGTTCATAGAATTATGGATATCTAGAGCTCAGAAATCATTGACTTTGATCTGCCGACAGAGCAGAAATACCCTCTACAACATCCCTACCAGTTCTGAGAACTGCTTGTTTCACTCCTTTTTATTTTTCCCCTTTCTGTACTGGGGTTTGAACTCAGGGCATCACACTTGCTAAGCAAGTGCTCTGCCATTTCAGCCATGCTGAAGGTTATTTTTCAGATAGGGTCTTAGTATTTTACCTAGTTGGCCTGGGACTACAATCCTTCTTCCTCATAGCTGGGATGACAGGCTCACAACTACCACACTTACTTTATTGATTGAGAGGGGGGTCTCACTAGCTTTTTCCCCAGGTTGGCCTTGAATTGTGATTCTCCTGATTTCTATCTTCCAAGTAGCTGGGATTATAAGCATGAGCTACTGTGCCCAGCCATACTCCTTTTCTTGACAGGAACTCAGTACTTCTTATTGGTCAGACAGCTCTCCTTTGAGTAGGATGAAGTATGGCATCACTGTTTCTTAGCCCATGATCATAGCTTGGAGCTCTGAATATTTGTGTCTGTTTCACCATGCTAAATATTCCCAGTTCCTTTGTCTTTTTCTTATGGAACCTGGCCTCAAATTTACTATCCTCAGAGTCACCCTCTTCTTCCATTTCACTTTGATCTGCCCCAGTCAAAACCTCTTTAGGATCTCTCTACCTGTTGTTTCTATGACTTATTATGGTGCTAAAAGTAGGTCTATACCTTTTAAAGACCTTCTCAATCACATATTTCTATTCTCCTACCAGTTCATAACTCATTTCAGTTGACTTCAAGCAAACAACGCAACTCCAAGATGTCACTGGTCTACATAGTGAGCACAAAGTCTCACACTGAAATGAAACATGCACTCACACATGCCAGCTAGAAGGAATGCTGGAGCCAGACTGTCTCTCCTCCCCAACATAAAACCAGAACACTGGGAAAATTGGCTTAAGCTGCCTTTGCCAAGGCCAACCTGTGCAGTTTGGCATTTTTCTCATGCATGAGGGAAGAATTCATTGTGTTCTTCTTGTTGCATAAGCTTAATTTTATGACGATCACTGTTGGTGAAGGAGGTCTATTTATCTGAGAGCGCCGAATCCTAACCACTAGACCACCAGGGAAGAGCTAATTTATCTGAAAAGTCTAATTCCTAATAAGAGCTATTAGCAAATGGTGACTCTGTCTAGGGTCCAGCAGAGAAAAATGGGAAGAAAACTTAGCAGGAGTTAGACACAACTGGGCATGTGTTCTGGCTTCTCTGTGTGGTTTGTATAGCTTACTGTCTGTCTCTGACCTCAAATTTCACAACTCCACTTTGAGTAAAAGAGGCTGAAATATTATCAGTACTCAAAGCAAATGCAAACAAGGGCTGTGCTTGTGGGTTCCCTCTTCTGGTAGAAAGAGCTCCCCAGGAACCCCTGAAGCCAGGACACTGTGGGCTTGAAGGACAGAGTCAGAATTTAAAAGGGACCACTTTTTAAACTACATTCCCACACTGCAATTTTCTGTGTATGCATGAATCTTCCTTATAAGACTAGAAGCATCTTACGGGTCTGGAACATCTACTATTTATTTAAGCTACATCAATCCATGGCACATAGCAGCCCTCAGTAAACATTTACTCAACTGAACTAATCCTCCAATCCACAACATCCTTTCAAACCCCCATGTTTTTGGTTATGCTATACCCTGGAGAGATCCCTCTTCATTTCTCAAGACCTTCAAGAAGTTTTCTTTGTATATCAACTCCCAAACTTAACTCCTTCCTCAGAGAAGAATGAATTTTTCATACTTTGTTTTTCCAACAGATCTTGTAAAACCCGTTTTTTATATCATGCTCTGTCTTAATTGTCTATTTTCTTGTTTTTCTCTCTCATTAGGTCCTCACTTAAGGACGGGGCTATGTCAGTTCATCTCTGTCTCCAATTTGAATGATTCAACTTTTCATTATTCTCTCTGCGATGTCCCTGTTAAGTAGGAATTAATCAGCATGGAAAGTAAGTATGCTCCTCCCTTCCTGAGGAATGTATATCTCTGCCAATCTTTGGGGTTTCTTGCATTTATGTTATTGCCCCATCATTTCTGCAGCCAGCAATAATATCTATCCATCTTTTCTGACACTTTGCTTTCTTCACTGCTGACCACAGGATCACTACTTCCTCTGGACTCTTATGGCTCTTACTGTCTATAGCATCCCTGTGATGATGAACTAATTCTAATCTGGAGATTAGAATTTAACCTACAATTCACTAACATATGTTTGCACCACCTAGTGGCATAAGCAGATAAGTGTAGGCTATTGTAACCTGTAGCTCTTTGGACAGGATTGAAAAACATGAATTTCCTATATGCAAATGAAAACAATAGTGTTTTTTCCAGAATGACTGTGCAATGTTTATTAGCTAAGAAACTGGAACAGTTAAATAATTTCTTCATTTTTTTTCAAAAATAAGAGGAATGAAATAAAAGTGAATATTTTCATGACTAGTCTAACTAGTAATAATCATTTGAGATTGCCAATGGGAAACATTACAGCATTACCCAAGATAATTACTTACGGAATTTGAACAAACATGAGCAATAACTTATACACAAGTAAGGGAATGTTTGATATAAAAATTACCAACTCATTATAATTCATTACCAACTGAGACAGATAAGAAACTTTTATATAGAGATGATATGTTAACTGCCTGGAAGAAGGCAGGCAATGTAATATTAGATGGAAGAAGCAAAGTCAAGGGAGCAAGGTGGCAGGTTTGGTAGGCAAACTGGGCCTGCTAGCTATTGAACCAGTCGCTGAACAAAAGCTACAGAGGCAGAGCATTTTCATGTGTTGTCATGGTAGTGTGTGTGTGTGTGTGTGTGTGTGTGTGTGTATGTTTGTGTGTGTGTATTTGGAGTGGGGAAGACCTTCTTCCTCAGAAAAGAGATTCCACACCTACACTGAGGGGAATGTGTCCAAATGTGTCCAAGTATTTGTATGGTATAACATGGACTCTGGAAGGAGTGTGAGCCAATCAGTAGTTGATGTGTAGGCACTTGGCTGTGTATAAGCTCTACATCTAGCCTTCCCTGGTAAAAATGGTATCCATGTACATCCAGAAGAAACCCATTTCTGTGCTTAACTGCATTTGATGAATGTAGAGCTCAACTCAATAATGGCCATTGAGGGTGGGACTTCTGAGGTAAACAGGAGTAACCTCTGAATTGATGCCATCCAAAGATTGCCAGCACATCTATAATGGATGCTTAAAGAACTGTCTACCAGTATTCCAGATCCAGGAATTATCCATCATTCTCCCATGCATCCAGTGAATGCTGTTTTGTTTGTAAAATGTCACAACACCTCTGGTCCCCATTAATTGCCTTAAGGGTAGAAGTACTAAAATAGGGATAATTAGAAACCTCACTGAGGAATTTTGGAATGTATATAGATTCAGTTATTCTCAATAAAAGTTATACTTGTCCTAAGCTAAAGAACTTATCTTTATGAATG